TTTGACAGTAACAAGCAGCTTATTGGTAATAACAACTACTACACTCTAATCATAATCATTCCTACTACTTTTTTTTTTTTTTAAATGTTTTTGTGCCAGGCGACAGTTCCGAACATTGAAGGCACTGTTGTCTCTCCTGACTTTTTTCTATTTTGTAAGTGCAAATTGCAAGTGCTAGTGCTGACACATAGTGCATTTTGCCACAGAAGTCATATTCATGTTTGGGACTACATGACAGGGCTGTGTGGCCATCTCTCTGTCAAATTACAATTTTAATGCGCTATCCTGGCGTTAACCAGGCTCGGTCGAACACAAGCACCTGAGGACCTTAACCAAGGTTCCCCCAAAGTCACATTCGTGAGTGAATGAATCTCAGCCAGTGGAATTGGCCTTCCCATTGAGTCTGTGGCACACTCACCCAGGGTAGGGGTCAACCCTTTTGATGTTCAGCCTAAGGTAGGACTTGAACTTGGGTCAACCGATCATGAGTCTGATGCGACAAACACTATGCTACCAGTGACGACTTACTTTATCTGATTGTTTGACATAATTAAGTCTTGTATAATTTCTTGTCTTCTGTCATTATCATGAATCAGACTCATTAGATTCTCACGTATTAATCTGGCCACACTTGATTCAAAGACAACAATATCTGAAAAATATAATACTTTATCATTACAAAACCCTGTAACTGTGACCAAGCAGGACACATAATTTTGACAATTGTTGACAAATGGTTTTTAGCAGATTCATTAAAGCGAGGGAATTGTCACCCGCACATGCGGCAGCCGGCCATAGCGTGTAATTGTTTACAAATAAGTGTCTATGAAGCTTTGTGTTTTTAGCGTGCGTTGTTATCGTAGCTTGGGACTCAGTTCCTGTATGTGTGCCGGTGACAACCCTTCCATTTTAAAACTGGTCGCTATTATTATGTTAAGATTTGTTATTGTGTGAGTTTCCCAATGCGTATGTTTAGTCATCATATTATTACAGATATCAAAACAGTAAAATTGCCAGCTTACTGACTGGTTTGTGATGTGTGTCTCAACATTTTTATGTGTAAAACCTTAAAAATAGTGTAAATAAATGGCTTTACAGTGTACCCAAGAATGGTTTGGTGAATCACCATGTCACTACAGACTGGTAGTCAGCATAGAATATTTGGAACAGTAAAGACAATCGCAAGAATGAAACACTTTTTGAAATGTAAAGACAAAGACTTGTGACTCTCGCTCTTAACAGAATCTCTGCGGTTATTTGCATTTACAGTCAGACTGTATGTAACTTAACAGATAGCTTGCTTTAAATTCCTCTAAATTGAACAGAGTTGAATTATTTATGACAACAATCCACATTTTTAGAATTATGCTTTTATAGAAAGACCATGCCTGCTAGTTACACTCAGACTGTACTGTATGGTGTAATGAAGACTTACCAGCAATATCTGAGATTCTATTTGGATCTGTCAGGGTAATCGTTGGCAAACCATGCTGTCGTAGAAGTTTATTGACCCCACTCCACTCGTCAAAATCAAACTAGAATGAAAGAATATTGGTTAAAAATATAAGAATATCATAAACAATAATTTCTCATCTAAAGAATTCTATACATAATACTGTATACATGTGTAATTCTGCTGAATATTATTTTTGAATATTTTTTTTCATAGAGGTACGTAAGTTTCTCAATGAATTTCATACGCATAACCTTTCAATTGTGGCAATTTTATAATTTTTTTTTTTTAATTTTGGTCCGTTGCAAAATCACCACAAGTGGTCTATTCTGTGGCGTTTTCATTGCTATTAATTATTCATGAAATGCAGTGATGTTATAGAACCTGGGCGTGGAACACTTCCAAAATAGGAAAGTAGATGTGAACTTGTGCAAATGATTCAAAGTGTCAAGTCACATGTGCATTATAGTTGTGTAGAACAGATCAAACCAAAAGCTGCCTTTCTTATTGGTTAGCAGCTCACAATTCATGCTACTCATTAGCATATTCATTCCATCATAAACGCTGTGACAACTATAGAGGGGGCTGCAGAACAGACCAGTCGGGAAACTTTTGCGTCAATGCAAAAGATTCTACAAACTTGTGTGTTATAATTGTGTAGAACAGGTCAGATCAAAAGCTGCCTTCTCATTGGTTTACAGCTTCCAATTCATGCTAATCATTAAAATATTTATCACCTTAAAA